ATGCCAGAATCCACATACTTATCTTTCAGGAATGCACAACAATTTGATTCTCATAGCAAAAGACCACTTAAAGGATACCGGACTTACCTTCTTCTATGAAGACTGATAAACCAAAATCTGTGGCCTTGAGAAGTCCCTTATCATCCTTACTGGATAACAAGAAATTCTCTGGCTTCAGATCCCTATGGATCACTCCCATAAAATGGCAGATGTTAACAACGTTAACAATCTGTCTACACACTGCAGCAGCAGCCCTTTCACTGTAGTGCCCCTTTGCAATGATCCTATCAAAAAGTTCACCACCTGCACACAGCTCCATGACCACATGAACAGAGTTCTTTTCCTCAAAAGAACCTTTGAACTCCACAATGTTGGATTGTCCACTTAAATGCTGCATAATTTGAATCTCCCTCCTCATATCCTCCTTGTCATCTCTTCTCACAAGCTTCCTCTTTGAGATGGACTTGCAGGCATATTGCAAACCAGTTGAATTTTCGGTGCAGAGATAAGTCACCCCAAATTGGCCTCTCCCCAATTCTTTCCCAAGAGTATAGTGCTGCTTAACATCCTCAAATGGCTTCCCAGTGATTGTGTCAGCCCTGTGAGCATGTTTTGGGCCTGGAGAAGGAACAGTGGCCCTCCAAGCAGCCTGAGGAGCATGTTTCTCAGGAAATTGGCTGACAAAGGGTTCATGGCTCTTGTGATTGTGGGCTCCCCCAACAGCATTTCTGTAACCAATGTGTTCTTCTGGCTCTGACCCTCTTTTACTCAGACAAGAACCCATGGCCGTGACACAAAAAGGAACGAAATTTTTAAGTTTTTCCTCACACCCGCAACTTGAAAAGTGATTGGATCAAAGCATGCAAAAGGAATGAACCCAGATGAGAATTCAAGGAAGAATATGCAACGAAGTACGAAGAGAGAGAAAAAGGCAAAGCTTGATGCAGAAAAATCAGAATCTGCAATTTTTTATAGATGGAGAGGAAAATAGAATGAGTCTGAACTCTGAACAAAAAGGATAAAGCTGTTGCCAAGTCAACTGCGGAATTTAGATTTGAATGTGTTAAACTAAGAATGGTTGAAACTATTTTACGACCAAAACATGGTTAGAGACCAAGAGGGAGTCCATAGAAGAGAAACTTCCTAAGAGCCACCTATGATTCAAGGACCGAATCAGAGAATCAAAGATGTTGTATCCAACACCACATTTTTTTTTCTATGTTTCATTCACGACATGTTTGTCTGGTACCACCAAATTATTGCTAATGAATGAGTAAACAAGTCAAACTTTATGCAGTTTAAGGTCACGCTGCTCTCACCTCCTATTTGGATAGACTTATACATTTTGAACACACTGTCTTCATATTCATATATACATGTGTGTGTTGATAAATTAATTATTCGTCTTTTATTTATTATAAATTAGAATAGAATTCACAAATTTAGGTAGATCTTTCTTTCTTGATTAAGTCAGGTAGAAACAAATTATTCTTAAAGAAAAGTTAAATTAAATTAAGAAAACAATCGTTAATAAAAAAAACCATGGAATTATAAATTATAATAAAATTCTCAGACTCTTCCATATATAGAGACAAATTATTCTTCAAGAAATGTTCCTACAGTTGAAAAAAGAATCTTGAAAATTATATTTATTAATTTACCGAACCGTTAAATCATACATATAATTGATATAAAATCTGTACTATTGAAATATCACGTCAATAAAATTATTAAATAATGATTAATTTTAATGATAAAAATATATTTATAATTAAAGATATTTTTTTTGGTAACCAAAATGTTAATAGATAATGTTAATGACTAAATTAAATATTAATTTATAATAAAAATTATTTTAGTTATTAATTTAGAAATTAGTTATAATTTTTTAATTATGATAGAAATTATTTTAGTTATTTATAATTTATAAATTAGTATCTAAATTAATTATTATAATATTTAATTATTTTTAGTTACTAAAATTATTCTTTTACTTAAGAATATTTTTTGTAGTGTTTTTCTTCTCTCATAATCAATATTGTATGATTTAAATCTAAACAAAAATCATTTTTGTTAAGAGCACAACCATTTTGACTGAATATAAGGAAATATATTTATATGTTCACAAATAGCATAATAATTACTTATAGATTATAAAAGTAAAACCGGAAACAATTCATATTTTAATTAATTGTTTGGAATTGTTGATTATTAATTTAATATTGGGGGATTATTTTCATCTGGTAGACTTAAATAATCCATATTTTTTTTAAAAAAAGTGTTTTAGTGTAGCAAATAAAATATTTATTATTCAGGATAAAATAATAAAACTTGTATCTTCAGGTAATTAATCCATTTTTCGAATCTTATGTCACTTTTAATAATCCATACCAATATAATGTAAAAGAATATTTATTTAGTTTTATTCAGAAAATAACTTATAAAATGATGTCATGAGGAAAAGGTAAAAATTGAAGTGATTTATTCTTATAAAATCAACAATGCATTTTTATTTCATAACATGTATAAAGAAATAAAATAATATTAAATAGTATATTGAAAACTGAAAGGAAAAATAAAATGGTATGGTTGATGGTGATGAAATCCTGAAAATGAAACGTGACACGTGTGGCACGTAATGATGAATTGTGGACACCAAACACTATATATTATTAGTATAATTTTGGGAATTTTCAACCCTCAAGCAAGAAAACGTGTACACAATAATTCATAATTATGCATTTGAACTACTAAATAATTTATGTTTCTAAAAGTTGTTAAACTAATTTTATATATGATAATTAAAAAAAAATCATACATGATTTCACATTATATATGTTTGATGGATTATGTATGTTTTAATATCCAAATCTTTGTTTTTGTTACATTCCCTTTTGAGTTCTTCATTAAACGGGAGAGTAGTAGATATTCTGATATAAAACTATATCAATATAATACTTAACTTGTATTAAATATAATTATCTATTTTTTTATTTCAAAACAAAATTATATTTATAATTTTTGAAATAAATTTTGATTAAAAGTGATATAATTATTACTAATAATCATACTTTATTTTAAGTTAATTAATATTAAAATTAATCTCTTGAAAGTTGAATAATGATAAATAATTATCCATAAGGACGCATTTATTTTTTTTTTCCTAAAGTTGAATATCGGTCCTCCCCTTATTCTTTGTCACTGGATAATTCATTTTAACCTTTCTGAAAAGTTATTCACACCACACTTTTTTAAAGAAGAGAGAGAGTGGTGTTATTTTGTTTTTCAATTTTTTTTCCAATAATAAGGCTATTGTTTAAGCTTTTGAGGCTGCAAATTAAAAAAACGTAGCTTTCTCTAACCATTTTGTCTAGTTGAGTTGCCAAAGCAACCTTTATTTTATTTTTTCAATTTTATTACATTTTTATAATTTGATTTGATTGAATGAGTACTTTATAGTCGGTATGCACATGTTTCTGAATTATTTTAGAAAAGTATAACCTATAATTTAAAAAGAAAACATCAAAACTATAAAAATAATTAATATCTATTCGACGAAAATACACTTATGTTTCTATGTAGATAAGTCAAACCATTATTTAGTAATCCATAAAATGTTGAGTCATCGTGATAATAGTGTAAAATATTCATCGATTCTATCAACGTTAGTTTTTTCTTTTCATTTTTCCTAAACCTTAACGTTTAAAAACATATAGTGACTTTTCTAGAAATAAAAGATTTTCAGCTTTCTCTTCCACTCACCTACCATGTGATATGATGCTATAAATAGTATATTATATTTGGTGGGTGCAATGGTTATGCTCTTAAACTAATAGCAAATAATGAGTAAACGTCACGTCTCCAAAATTATATATAGCTTTAGAGTTGTTACTTTCGTAATAAAATAAAACAGTTTATAAGAAAAATAAAATTAATTTACAGCTATCCTAAAATAACCATAAATTTATAATTTTATAGAAACCTATACTAACACAATTCATAAGATCAGACTGATAGTCATTCAAGCAACGTATTAAACCGAACGGTTTTTTACTAATACAAAACCAGCACTAGACCGAACGGTCTACCCTAGCAAGAACCATTTTCTCTTGTCATCGCCTGCTCCAAAAAAACTTCAGCTTCTTCTGCTCACACCCACAGGGTGATCACTGCAAGGACGAAGACGACCGAAAGGACAACTAGACAAGACAGGAAAATAAGGGTAAGCTAGTGTAATTTAATTAACTATGTAAACAGATTACTCACATAAATCTGATATAAATCAATCAGTCCATCATGTAACAAACAATCATACATTTCCACCCATAATTGTACCACAATGCATGCATTGACTGTTCACTTTACTCTGACTGCCCAGACTGTATGAATTATATAGATACTACGTTCTTGCACTCGTGGAAAGGTAATCTGGAAAACCATCAGAATTACCATAGCTGGAAACCCAAGCCGCCACACGAGGTTAGCCCTTCATCCCTCACTGTAGCTGGAAACC